GGCGAGGGGCTGTGTTGGGTTGTGGGGACACATGGTGGTGGGAGCCCTCCTAGAGGTGCAAAAGGTTTCTCTGGTGGCCTGAAGTCAATGGGGCAGCACTGGGCCACCTGAGTGTTTGAGCAGTATGGGCTGAGTTGAAAGTCACTGAGCCCTTTGACTCCAGGGCTTTTCTACCACATCCCGGGCTGTTGTCCAAACCCAAAGCCTCCACCCTGCAGGATTACTGCTGGGGGATCCAGCCGTTGCGCTCCGGTCTAACTGCATCTGCTCTCCCCGGACCACACAAGCCCAGGTCCATAGGAAATCCCTGGAGCTGCTCATGTTCGCCCCATCGATAAAGGTCGCCTGAATTCCCTGACAGAGTGCACACTTGCAGGGCAACAGTGCAGATGGTAGGCCAGTCTGCACCTTATTGTATATACGTGTCCTCTCTTATCCAAACTATTCCTGGCACATCTCCTCTCTTTTCATTCAGGCACTTAAGGATGAGCATCTGGGGCCAAGATTGCCCATGTAATTGATGCCTTATATAATGATATTGAGTTTTGGAGTGGCCTTGAACTCCAGTAAGTCACCCTCTACACCTTTCTAAATGGAGTTTCACTTTGTCAATGTACATAGATGGCCCTATCCATTCATTTTATCTCCTTCTCTTCATTTGGTCATTCCTTAAACTAGCCACCGGCTTAGACAAGTCCTGCGAAGATGCTGTTGACTGCTTGGTGGTCCACACTGTATCATCTTCATCAGTTTTTCATATCTCTTTCCACACGCAACTGCAGATTATCTGGGTTGGTTTTGTTAATAGGAGACAGATGGAAATTGGGTGTCAAGTTGTGATTCTGAAGCGTAGGAGCTTCATAGCCTTTTTTAAAATGCATGATATTAAAAATCTTTTAAAATTAAATTAGTTTCTGGCATTTAACAATTAGTGAGGCAAAACAGATGCTCAACAGAGAGGCCAGAGGGTGGTAATTCTTTAGTCTAAGTAGTCACCTCTGAACCCCAGGCTGACATAAACACCTTTGATACAAAAGGCCAGACTCTTACATGCTCTAAATCTCCCATTGTTTGCCCTGGCACTGCACAGCGCTCGGTCTGGTGGGTTGCATTGCCTTTCTCAATCAGGTGATACACAGCACAGGAACAGCTGGGAAGAAGAAATGCTGGCAGAACTGATATATCTAGGACCTTGTGCATTAGACAAATCAGATTTTCTGGAGCTTGCTTTGCCTGGGTCTATTAGTCGAGCCTTCAAAATCAAAAGTAAGAGGCGTTTCTTGGAGTAGCGTATGCACTATTCTAAAATGAGCTGCAGGACTTTTACACATGGGTGAAGAACACACACTGGGTCTGAAAGGGGTTTGTCAAGCGGGAATGGTTCAAAGCAGCATCAGGGAAGGTTCAGACTGGACATTAGGAAGCATTTCTTTACTGAGAGGATGGTCAAACACTGGAAGAGGCTTCATAGAGAGGTGATCGATGCCCCAACCCTATCAGTGTTTGAGAGGCATTTGGACAATGCCTTAATAACATGCTTTAACTTTTGGTCAGCCCTGAAGTGGTCAGGCAGTTGGACTAGATGATCGTTGTAGATCCCTTCCAACTGAACTGTTCCATTCTGTTCTGTTCTGTTCTGTTCTGTTCTATTCTAAGTCTGGGATCCTGTCCTAGTTCTGGCCAGGAGTGGATGCCAGAGGAAAAATATTTGAAAACAGGCAAACATGGCACAGTCCTTTTCCCGATACAATCATAGGGCTGGGAGCTTCTGAGCCAGAGATGGTACCTTTGTGTGTAGTAATTCCAACCGACTTTCCCTGCACAAGTTTGTCTAATTGCTGTTCTAACTTCTGGCCTCTGCAACAGCTGATGGCAATGAGCTCCACTGTTTAATTTGCACTGGATGGAGAAGTGCTTACTTTTGTTTGTGTGAAACCTGCTGCCTGCTAATTGCATTTAATGTCTTTTTCTGGCAAAAAAAAGGAGGTGTGGGAGGCTTCAAACACTAGGTCACAGGTGCTTGGGTGCAAGGCATACGCGAGGCATATGCAACTGGCTCATGCCAGTTGCATGAGCATTCACTGCATGGCTCAGCCTCCTGCCCTGACACCATCTGGTAAACTGCGATCTTCTCACCAGCAGCATCCAGCAGGCAAAGCCCCCATGC